GTATAAAGTAAAGCCCACATTGTGCCTCCATCCCTCAGGGCTGTAGCTCTGCCTATCTCCCACTTCTTTGGTGGAAGGGAAGAGGAGGAGACGGACAGTCAGGAAAGGATGCCTCAGAGGACCTTGGCTCCAGCAGACTGGTTTTCCCACTCATCTGATGCAGCTCTGAGTGTGTTTCTTGCGAAGTCCATATTGACTGCATGCAAAATTTTCTGCAAAAGTTAGGTTTTACCTAATCAGCCTCTAAAATAACTAGGCTAAGCCTAACAGCTTTTCTGCATTCAGAGAGGAAATTTTGAACAGCCCATTCCCCTGGCTAGGGAGCAGTGACTGCCCACACCATCATGCAATATGTAGCAGTTCAGTCATCAAAGAGCATGAGCCTTCTCTAATTTGCCTCCTAGGAGCTGCAGTGGATTATTTTCCTCTTTCATCTTTGTACAGAGGATGATAATGTGTCTTCAGTTGAAATAGAAAATATAGAAATATTGATTTTATTTTATTTTTTAATACTTGCACAGTGAGTTTGCATGTGAACTTATTTACAATTAAGGATGAATGTAAGAGCAAGAAATGAAAAATTATGTTTCATCTTAAGTCTTCAACTGTTTCAAAGAGTCTGTTGCTAACTGAAATCACTACTAGATACATTATTTTTCTATAGAAGAGAAAAGCAGAAGTGCTGTCATCTACATATTATTCCTCTGTAGTTGTAGTTGGCAGCTGATCAGTCTCGCTAAGCAATTAGATATTGATTTACTGGTCTAGTATCTATCAAACTTAAATGAATCTGCTCATTTGACAAGAAATACCAGAAATTAATGCTAATCAATTATATAGAAGGCATTCCTTGGATTGTGGGTCTTGTTTGAGGGCAGCCATAATGGTAGGTAATGTTGCTGACTTCTAAAGAGAACAGGTTTTAAAGCTCCAGTATTTCTGAGGCTTAGTCAAGAGTACAGTTAGGATGTGACAGTTCATTTTATGGAACTTAAGAGGTTTGTTAGTACTATGTTGAAACAAATCCAGATTCATATAATGTCTGCCTGGGATCTCCTATCGATCACACCAGTGATCCAACCACCAGATGAGAGGTTGCAAACTTCACCTTTTATTTTCTCCTGACAAGAACCTGACTGAAACAAGTACTTTCTTTTTCTCCAGAAAGCATTTGGTACCCGCTCAATGAAATCTTGCTGAAAGAAAAAAAAAAAGAAAAAGTAGCCAGAAATATTTTACCTTAGTCTTAGTCTCCAAAGTACCATAGGATTTTGTTAACATTTTAATAACAGCTATCCCAATAAGATATTTATAGAATATAAGCAAACTAGAATCAGTTTTGAATAATCTAGAAATGACATAAGCAATAATTTGGTTAATCTTATCAATTTTTTTACAGGTAGGAAGGTTTTCAGTTCTTAATGTTTATCTGCAGAGCTTTTCTTAAAAAGAAAACTAGAGTGTTAAGAAATCTATTTTTCATAAATAATAAATAAATAAGTTTTTTAATTAATTACATTATTTTTCATAAATAAAAATTAAGGCTGTGAGGTACTGATACAGAGCATCAGATAAGGAAAAAAAAATCAAGACATGGCCAATGCATTTAGATACATAAAGCACTTCTGTCAAAATATGGTAACATTTCCTACAAAGGAAAAATAATAAAATTATGCACCTCACCTTACTGTAAAAATTCTTCAGCTGAGCAGTATCATATCAAATATCATGCCTCCTATCACTCTTAACAGAGCTACTGTTTTAAAAGTATTTACACTTAGAAAGATATCATTTGAGATGAAGAAGAGTAACATAAAAAGCTTTTGTCTGCACTTGAGAGCATAGTTTCCCAGTTATCTCAGGAACTGATTGCACCATGAGGTACCCCCAACAGTGGGAAGAAGCTTGAGTGGAGGTCTGTCAGGTGAGGACCTCTGAGCCCCTGGCACAGCCATTCATGGGAGTGCAGGTGCTGAGCTACATACTGAGTCGCTTGCAATCCCTCCTCTTCTTCCTACCTCTGCTTCCACATGGATTGTGGAGAGTAGCCTTTCCTCTGTCCACATGGGTTGTGGAGGGTAGTCCCAGCAGGATGATGTGATCAAGAAAGGACTCAATGAAAATCATATTGCCCATATAGTTATCTCATCTAAGGAATCAATTTATTTATTTAATTCTTCTCTACTCATTAGCTGGGGAAAAAGAATGAGGACTGACAATTTGGATTTCATACTTACCACTTATTTGGTAGATAATAAACTCTGCACTCAAAATGGATGAGGGTAGTAGATTAGAATTCATGTGCAGGTCAAGGGCATATTTAGAAGAAGAAAGAATCCATTTCCAATTCCACAGGGAAAACTTCATTCTGATTCACTGTACTAGAGAAGGCATCGTAATTTATGACCTTATGTCACAACTGTTACTTAATGGGGAGGAGGGAGGGAAGCAGCTGATTACAGTGATTTGCATCTTGGGGCATTTTTCTGGGTTAAGTGGAAGTGTGCTCTTTGAGTCCAAAATTGTGCCTTATAGCAAACTCCAAGTACAAATTTTTCCAAAACACGTTTTAGTGATTATAACTGTTTAAAGAAAATAGACCCTACATATCCAAGACATATGTCACATTGTACTTAAAAACACAGTGCAACTTGAAGGAAAAGTATTAGAAATTCAACAGTTAAATACTAGAAAGCTTTGTTCTGTTTCCAGCCTTTTCTCTCTTAATCTTTTTTTTATTTCTCTGAAAATATGATTAAAATCTGGTCTTGATTTTGCTGAAGAAAATATGTGATGATATGAACATTTGTATTAATTTTTACTGCTGGCTAGCTATCAGAGTTCCATTCATAAGTTCTTAGAAATGTCTCAGGGTACTGGCTCTTCATACATAGTTACAGCTGGATTTTGTAGTGATGAGGGATTCCATTTTTTTAAATAAAGTTTTATAAACATTTCTAAAGAACACAAATAATAGTAGATTAAATCCACGTCATGTGCAATGCCTTTCAGCTTTTGTTCTGTTGCTCTCATTTTCCTGGTTTTTTGGTCTTCATCAGGTTGGTGATGTTTTCCATTATTTTATTGGTCCATCTGCTTAGTCAGTATGCATGGTTTTAATATATGTGGGGATCAGACACTACAGAAATGTTTTTTTTCTAATGCTGCGAAGTGGAAAAGACAGTTGAATTTTACTAGATCATTTCAATGTAAAATATAAAAAACAAGTAAAGTGTTTAATTAATTATGCTTTCTCTCAATTCATGATGCTACACATTTGTGGCAAGATCTAGTTCTATCATAATGTAGTGACTTTCTGATGTAAACTTAATACTAGACATTGTTCAATTGTACTACGTTTGTTTTTGTTGCTCCATGACACTGCTGCTATTTTATATATATATATTTTTATATATATATATATATATAAATATGAGTGCCAAATAATGTAAGCATGGATTTCCTTGTTCAGATAGGCTGCTTAGGCAAAGCTGAGTGATCTGACCCCTACTGTTGCTCTTGACTTAGATCACCACCTTTCATGAACTCTTATTATCTATGGCCTTTAGTGGCTCCAGCCTCTTTTATTGCCTCTGCTCTTCAGGTTGCTTCTTTAGTGGTTCATTTAGTACTTCAACTTGGATCCTTTCTCCTCTTTGCCCTTTCTATTCTTGATTTATACCTGTTACTGATTTCTGGCCCCCACACAATTTCAAATGTCTGTGTTTATATGTGGATTTTAAATCTACCTCTCTACTTTTAATCTTTCTTCTTGTCCAGTCTCCCACATCTCATTCTTTTGCTATTTCTCCTGTAAACACAAAACCTAGGCCAAATTTTTCTATGCTTTTACTTGAAACTTCATGCTGTGTCAAAGCTGTCAGCATCATTATGTTTGTCCTTGTCAGCATAACCTGTGACAACACTTCTGGCTTTTCTGAACATGTAGGATGTTTTTAAAAACAAAGAAAATTCAATGCAGGTGTTGATTAATGGTACAAAGCTCTAATTGTGAGCACCTGAGATACAGGTATTCATGAGCAGCAAAGCGTTGTCCCCAGATGAATGTCACACAGGGATTTGGGCTTAGCTCTGTTTATGTAAGACAGGAGTGGCACAAAAGAGTATCCCCAGACACCATCACATTCTGTAAATCTGTGACTAGGAATCATTGCTCTTTTCTTAAAGATGAGTAAAGTAGGAGCTAGGAGGACGGAGAAGGACCTGACATAGTTTAAAAGTGCAGAGCTACTGGAGCTATAGTTTCTCTGGGATGGTTTGGACTGCCACATTGCCTGGGATTTCCCTGGCAGAGAGAGGACCACCACAGCTTCATCTCTGATGTGTTAGCCAGCCTCCAGCCCTTGCTCCTAAAACCATGCTGTACCAGATGACTGAAATGCATCCTTAGAGGACAGCACTGTCAGTGTTGAAGGAAGGTGTCTTCTGTAGTGTCTTCTACATGGCTCTTTTCATCCAATAAATTTTGCTAGGTCCTGAGTCTTTTACTTAAAAGGAGGCATTAGAAAGGGAATTAAACTTCCAGTCCTTATAGAAAGAAGAGTGTTATAGCATCTGCAGTAGCCACAGGATCAAGTTGAAGATTCCTGAGCTCCTACCCTAACCCTTTCTGCAAGCTGCATCAGATTCTTGTTAATGTTTTTGAGTGCTTTCCAAAGCATTTTCAGGCTCAAAGAGATATGTGACACTGTTAGCTGCAGAGGCCAATGTTTTTTCCTCTGGGCAATAGGCACAGTGGGGCCCGAGAAGTCCCTCAGCAGCACAGCATTGCTGGAGGCCTCCAGGCAGCCATGCCAGGCTGGGGCTGGCCTCCTCTCCACAGCTCATAAGGTTGTCAGCCTCAAGATCTGTGTGCAAAATTGTGTTTGCAGGTCACAGGTTGGGGTTTTTTTGAGAGCATGAGTCAGTGGTAAGTTGGCAGCAAGTTGGAGATTATTTAGGGAATATTCTCACTTCACTTTTTTCTTTTAATGTTGCAGGAAATATCCAGGAAGTCATATTACAAGAACGCCTGGAAAAAGAAGATGAAATTCTGGTTTCCTTGGCTGGTTTGAAGCAGGTATAACTATTGGTTAACTTAGCCTTCTTTTACCCTTCAGTGTGTTAATACTTTCTCTTTTTTTTTCTTTTTTTCTTTTTTATACTGCTGTTTTGTCTTGTCGCTGTTTTACTATTACCAATGCATCAAACATTGCAGCATACTTTTATTCAAAAAGGTAAAACTCAGCTAGAAGGAGTTCAAATGACTTGCATGGTATTTGCTCCCTGAGAAGTTCTGGAGGCCTTGAGCCAGATCTGAGGCAGCACAACACCAAGGTCTGGGCTTAAACTGCACCATCATTTTTCTTAATACAAAATGTACACGCTGGGCAATAATGGTGCCTGTGTCCCTATTATTTAAATGGGATGACACTTGAATTAAAAGCAAAAATACTACATACATAAAATGAGAGTGCTGCTGAGCATCTGTAGCTCTGATTATACTGCCCTCTGCTCCCTTGGAATATATTTAATCAGGAACAATGTGACATATGTTAAATCTGTAACAAGGTAGAGAATAATCTTTATAGTTTCTCTTTACATTTCTTGGATACTTGCTTTCCAGACTCTTAACACAATCACATTTGACTGATATTTATGTCTTTAGCCAGTATAGATATGAATATTGACTTGCTTCCTGTTTCTTAAAAGCAGGTATTTTGGGGAAATGGTGTATGAAAGCATGCTGCATGGAGCTGTAGAAAATTCAGAATTCCTTTAAATTTCTAATTTAATTTTTTTCCCCTCCCATTCAACAACAGATCAAAGACATTCTGAAGGGTTCCCTGCGTTTCAACCAGAGCCAGCTGGAATCTGAAGAAAATGAGCAAATCACAATAGCTGATGATCATTACTGTTCCAACAGTCAGAACAAGGGGACAGATGATGTCCTAAAGGGACCTATTATGACAAAGCAACAGTTCATCTCAGGACAACAGGTAAGATATCTCAAGCGGGTCATTGATGGTGCATATGGAGCCATGATTAAAAGTGTCTCTCTAGCTACTGTACTACTGCCATCCGTTATTTTTATTGTAGCCTTATGCTCCATGCACAGTTATTTAAGTGCTATGCAGTGTCTGGAAGGGTTCTTCTTTCAGATTGTGAAATCACAGGCTAATTTCCTACAAAAAGATGTAAAATCTGGAGGTAAGTGTTCCCGTATCAAATGTTCCCATATGATTATTCTCATTGTCTTTGTCCTCCAGAATCCCATTATGTAAGAACTGATTATCTGCATTGCAGTGTATCTGTGGCCAGTGCCAAAAGGAAATAGCAAGGAGGTTGCTTTTACCTTCTCCTCCATTGTGTTGACATTCCCCTTCAATCCATAAACACTGCTTTCACATACAAAGCATAGAGTCACAGGATGAGTTCCTACACAGAAAGAGGTATTTTCCTTTCATGTTAAAAGGTCGCTCTCTGTCTAAGACTCAGTCTGACTCAAATTTGATCTTAAAAACAAGTACTTTTGGATATGCACATTTCTATGTTGGAGTTCTGTTAAGTCTCCCATCACACTGCTGATACACTTGTCACTCAGCAGCAGCACGGTCACCTCACAGTCTAACTGAGTCTGCAGTGAGTTTACCCTTGTAAAGTTTACCTAATAACTAGAGGAAATACTTTTTCATTTTCAAATAATGGCACAGAGTTGTTTTGATGTATTACAATCCCTCTGATTAAGAACAATCTATGTGAAAAACAATGTTTTAATTGTATTTCAGTATTAGAAGCAATACCAAGATTTACTGTTTTGGTTTTTTTTAACTTAGTAATGGCAGGTTCAAAGAGCAGAGCTTTGCTAGAAAGCTCTACTGCTTGTTTAGCTGTTGTCATTACAATTTCAATTACACTGCTTTCTGCCATAACAAAGTCATAGGTTAAACTTCTGTAGTATATTGTAGTGTTCATATAATGACCTCCTGGTTTTGCCCTTTAGCCCCTTGTATTTTCTGCAAAGTACATTTTGCTTTCTTGCCAACATAGCAAATAGTACCTTTTTTTTATGATTTCCACTTGGATTTATTCTAGAAACTGGAAGGTAGAATGCCATATAAAGTGTCACCATGCTGTATGAGTGTGAGCAGAGCCTGTTGGTGCTGGAGAAGCCCTTGCTCAGCTACTGGTCAAACCCTGTGTCACTGAGCACAGGGGCTTTGCTCTTCCGCTTTGGAGAGTGGAGCCAGTGAAGCCTGGTCTGCACAGGTTTCTTTCCAATGGGAACTTCTGGGACCGTGTGTAATGAGGTCTGGTCTTGTCCCAGTGTGTACTAAGGGTATATCCAGCCCCAGCAACTGAGAGGCACTCATGGATCTCACCATTTTGGAAGTTGCTAGTCAGCCAGCTGTGAGCAATGTGAGTAGAGGTTGTACAAGCTGAGCTCCTGCAAAGCATTAATGAGGCTTCAGCACTGCCTGGTTTACATGTGGAAATGCGGTACATTCATACAGATTTGTGTCCTCTCTTCTCCTCTTCTGGAAGTTCCAGTTATGATGATGAGAAGCACCCCCTGTGACAGAAAGAAAAATAAACTATTAGGGTTAGAAATGGAAGTCCAGGAGGACGGGTAGTATCCCACTGGTCTGTGCTGTTTCCAAGCCCATCATCTTTAAACACAGTGACTAAAATAAAACAAAAAGAGGAGAGTTTTGGACCCCTTTTAAAAACACACGGAAAAGTAAACCTGCTGAATTTAGTGGGTTGTGACATCCAACTGTTAATTTATGGGGTCAATTCTTGGCCCAGACTGGGCCACAGCCCAGACTTTTGGCTCTGCTGAAGAAAATGGCTGTACTGATGCCCTGGATCAATCCAGGAGTACTTACTGAGAGCTGCAGGGGGAATAAAATTGCCAACCACTTCTAGACAATTAAATACATTTGCTGCTAAAGAAATTTCATTGTATTTACCCATATATGACTTTACTAATGCATGTAATTCTGTTTGATGTGATTTATACTGTAGACTTCTTTTTAGTGGAATTACAGGGATATTTTCTAGGATTACTGGAAAAGGCACAGGTGTAGCTATCATGTAATTGAGATTAAAATCTGGTCTTTTGTGCTAGTCTGTTACATAAGTATAAATTATTTATCATCTTTACTTTTTTTAAAACTGCTTTTCCCCTTTTTTGACTCAAAATCCCTCTTTGTAAAGTGAGGGTAAGGATACAACCCTTCTTTGGAAAGGAAAGCTGCAAAATTAAAAATGCAAAAAAAATTAAGATAAAGGCTCAAAGAAATCAAGCATTTTATGAATGTTTGGCTTTGGTAGCAGCATGCAGTTGACAAACAGAAGGCTTCTGTTGCTAAATAATGAATGATAATTAACACATTATCTTGCCTTTATGTCTGTTCAGAGAAGGATACAAAATGAACTGCTGTTCTTCTAAGCTTTCTTGAATCGTATCCTTACAGTGAGTTTTAACTCGTTCACAGTGTGAAGGCAGTTGAAATAAGCCTGGTCCTAGTAGCTGATATTCATCAGGAAAAAATGTTTGGAGGAGCCATATGGCAACGGGCGTAAGGTTGTTAACTTTCAAAGCTACTGGAAGTGTAATTCTGTCATTTTTCATTTATTCAGTAGTGGCAGCAGATGGGAGAAAACATGGTTCACGTCAGCATGAGTTTCCTGAAACAGAAACAGGCAAAAGAGGAAGGGAGGAGGTATTTTACCTCTGGAAATATCAGTACCAAAATACCCATGTATGCCCGGGATAGGCAAACATTTATGGGGGAGCTATTGTAGCATTTTGGAGTCAATATCTGTGTTTTGTTGCCTCTCTGATAATTCAGTGAGCTATAGGTCTCTTTAACTGAACCGAAAGGTGTAGGTAGAATGAAAAGTGCAACAAGAAACTGGGATGAGTAGTTTTCCTTTCCCTTTATTAAAGGGCAGGATGATTTTTTTAACTGTGCAAGAGCACATTTTGGAAGCAGAACTTAGGAAACTGCAACACCAGTACCAAGTGTTTATGATGGAGGGCCCTTGCTGGGGCTCACTGCCAAAAGGAAGACACCCCGTTAGCATCTTTGAGGTGCCAGCAAGGAAAATAGTGATCCAACTGGCTGAGTGTTTTACTAGGTGACATCTGTGTCACCCTGTGCGAGGTGTATGAGCGCTGCAACAACTGAAATAGCATGATCTTGATAACTTGGAATAATGAAGTGTATAATTTTGCAAAATTATACTGTACTGCCTTCCCTGAGAGCCTTTAAATAGGAGTGTGGAAAGAGGCCAGGTGAATTATACAACAGTGGTTGTTTAAAGGAACCTTGTCCAGGGGGAGGAAAACAAAGTGCTGAAATTTTGGATTTGGCATTTAGAGCTCCCAAAAAAGCCTCAACTGGCTCTACTCTCTGGCTGCTCTGGGTGCCTTCAAAATCAGGTGCCAACTAACCCAGTGGTGGAGCAGAGCCACAATGTGCACTGCCTGACTCCTCCGTCCCCTGGAGGTGACAGCTGATGGACTGACAGCTCATGAAGACAGCATTTCAAGCAGACTAGAGGAAAACAAAAGGCTAATTAATAATAAATGATGACTCAGCTCAGAAGGGCTTAGATAGTGAAGTATCCCTCCTTGTAGGATGGATCTGTTTGTTTTCAGCTTCATGGAAAGCACTTGAAGTTGATCGCATTTGAACTACCCTGGTTCTGAGCAGATCAGGAAATTTGAGGGCAGTTTGATAGTGCCCAGCACAGGATAGCTGTCAAAATTTTTAAAAGCAATCTGCTCAGTTTGATATTAATTTTATTGTCATCTGAGGAAAATTAATTAGTATCAACAAATACTAGATGTAAATTTCTATCAGTTTGACAACTGACTTGCATTGGGACCTTTAAAGTTGTAACCAATACTCTGGGCTTGATTGATGAGAAAGTATTAAAATGGGTTAATACAAAACATATATATGTTATTACAAAAGAATATATATTATTATACCTAGATACTATCTAAATAAAACACACAAAATATATAAATTATTAAAACAGGATTTAAAAAAAAAATAAAATATTTACTCCGAAGGGAGAGGTTTGAATCCTCATTCACGTGAATTTTGGAAGGGTACAATCCTGCATTTGAATGTATTTTCACATTGAGATTATATTTTCTCACTTGTGACTTTTAACAATTTGGCACAGCTATGTAAATAACAACGAAAACCTTCCAACTCCCTTGTCTCATAGTCAATCTCAGTCACTGGTGGGTTTTGTTCCACAAACTACTCTACAGTTCCCTTTCAAGGGAGTTCATCTCTATAATCAGTAACCAGAATAATAGAAAATTGTTTTCAGCTGTTATAATAAAGTTAGCAAAGTAAGTTTTGCTGGAGGCCATGGATACTGTAGCTCCAAGTTGTGTCTTATTGATACTTGTGATCACCTCCAGACTCCAATTTTATGCCCTGTGCTGAGGGTCTAAGTTTATCTCAATCAGATCCTTCCTGTTGTTCTTTTTTTGTTACTGCTGTTTTTTTTTTTTCTGTTACCTACAATCCCTCTTTTACCCTAAAGTGAATTTGCTTTTTTTTGTTTGTGCAAAGAATCCCAGCTGAGGGACTTGTAGTTGACATACACATTTCCCCAGCTGCCCTTCTACTTCTCCTTTTACTCAGTCAGGCATTAGTGTAATCAAATATATTGGTTTCAGTATCACACCAGCTCAGGATGCTTGTTCCCACAGGTGCTTGGCAGGTTGCATTATTATGCTGAAAAAAAGTTGTGTGACATCAAGAAAGAAAGCAGTCGTGTTCTTGTCAGAGGAACACTAAGTTATACAGGAGCTGAACGCCTCTCTTGCAGAAGGGAGCCAAGGGTTGTCCGTTTGGGTCACAACTTTGTCAACAAGGGAGAAATCCCACTCTGCTGTAGATGGCAGTCTCCCCTTCTAATTGCATATAGCTCTAACTGGTGAAAAGCTGGGTTTCTCCTGAACATGGCTAGTTGGAATATAAGGTTGCCAGTTCATAGACACTTTTCCTGTACACTGACTTGTAGTCTTGATCCATTACCTGAGTGCTTAGGAACACATTTCCCCAGGGTGTAACTGGACAGATGAGGGTTTCTTGAAGCCTCGTTTTCTGGTAGAATTAGGAAATACTTGGCAGCACTAAGCATAGAAGCCCTGGGAGCCCTAATCTGCCAAACCTGATCTGGTGCACACTATACTAGGTCTATGTACAGCCCAGATTCCATGGGCCCAGGTTCAAACTGTTCTCCTGACAAGCTCCAAAATGCCACTGTACCTGAAAACCAGAAAAAAAAAAAAAGAGGTCAATACTACTTCATGGGTTACTACAGAAAACTAACAGTGGTGAGAATATAATTACTGAAAATCTTCACAATGTTGATGAATGTTAGATGCCTGGCTGCTGTGATCACTACATGGATGCACTATGATTATGAAACAGGTAAGGCTGTTATACCTAATCATGTATAACGTAGAGTGTTAGCTTTATGCTTTTGTAAATAACAAATTCTTTCATCCCAAGTTAATACCCACTTTATTTTTTTCTTCTTTATTTTGGCAATGCTGCTTTTGGATGTTGAGTGTTCCTTTATCCCACTCCTTTATCACTGACATGCATCATACATCTCATTAAGCGGTGAAACTGGTACTAAATTTAAGTCCTTCCTGTGCTGTTGTCTCACAGACTACAACTGATCCGAGTGTTAGTGAGAGCAAGAGTGCTGACGACTACATTATGGTTTCCAAAGAAGAGGAAGGCAGTACATGTGCTGTCCTGGAGCCTGTGCAGTCCCATCAGGCACACAAGGAGGCAGAGGTGAAGCCAGAAGCTCCGTCTCGTTCTTCTTTGATATTCTCTGACCCACTGATGGGCTCCATTTCAGCTTCCTCCAGCAACCTGAGCTCCAGCCCTGATGATGACAGTAGTAATAACAGCAAAGATTCTGACTTTGCTATTGTCAGCCCACTGGACATCTAAAAAAATAGGTTGGGAGAGTTTGGGAGGTTGGTCGTTACACCTTAGTTCAAATTGCTATGATTCCATGGGCTGGATAGTTCTTTGGATTAGGACAGAAAATAGGTAGAGGTAACCCATTTCATCTGCCAAAAATCTAATCAAAATTTTTAAAAAATGAAAAAATAGAAAAAGAAAGAAAAAAAAAGACAAAAAAAACCCACATGAATTTGCAAATCTTCTAATAAAATAGCCACCTTATAATAACTGCCTTAAATAAAGACCCAGTAGAACCCAGTTCTAATAGACAGTTATTCTTAGTTATAGAGTTATCTTACTTAGGAACTTTATTACCATAGAGCTGTTGCTTTCCCAAAACATAGAATAGTATGTGCTAGGTACCATAATGGATTAAGAAATGTGTAGATACTTGGCATCAGACCTGAAGCAGCAAAGAGAAGCTAGATTTAGTATTGTCCTTTTACAAAATACGCTCAGCTGGGTTTTCTGAGTAGGAAAGGATACTGTTTCTTCAGAGACTGTGATTAGAGAAGTAGGGAATCTATGTCAGAAAGATTAAAAGCATCATCCTGGCAGTAAGCTTGTTCTCAGTTGAGGAATCCTAGTTCCTTCATTTTCATCTGGCAGTAGCCTGAGGTGTGTTCGAGGCAGAGGTTTGTATAGTTGTTCCTCAGTGCTGTCTTGCAGGAGAATGTGTGACAAATTCCTTGAGAACAGGGACCTCTACAACAGAGCCTTATTTCCTTTTGCCTACTTTTTTTTCAGCCCTCCCTTGAGAGTTCCCAGTTCACCTCTTTCCCTCTTTATATCTATCTACCTTTACTCTCCCTATCATTTTTATTTTACTGAGATTACCACGGCTAAAACAGTAGGTGCAAGGGAAATTACAGTATTTCATAGGGTAAACCTGAGCCAGTTGAACTAAAACTAGCTTGGGTATGATAACTTACCAGGGAAGGGTGCAAAGTGAAATTAAGTGTTCACAATTAAAAGCACTTTATGTCTGATTCCTATTATCTTCTATACACTCTGTTTACATATATTCCTATACAATTTCCGCATTTCTAGTAAAGAAAAATATCATGGTGCAGCAGCGTTAACCAACAGAAATTTTCTAATTAATTCTAGAACTTGTTGCTCTATGAAAAGGTGTATTTCTTTCCCATCAAGTACATAATACAACCAGTAACAGCTTTTTTCAAGTAGATGCAGGGGGATCAGCACTTACTGATCCCTTTAAACTCTTGAAATTCACAAAAATAAACTGGTGGCAAGTGGGTGCCTGCTCTTGTGGGACCTAAACAGAACCAGCTTGAGGAAGGAATGCTACAAAGTCACTCTAACAGCCAAAAATTGCATTTTTTACTTTTAGGGTACACATTATACCATGCAACAACTTCATAATTGCATGGCAAAGCTTGTGTTTGTATGGAGTGAAGAAATTGTACTTCTTTGCTGCTTAGTCTGTAATTGTAAATCAGTTAAGTACCGTATTCCAAAGATGAGGTGACATGTAGTTTGCTGGTCTTAGATTTTACAAGGTCTGTGTCAGTGACTGTAATGAAGAGATACTTGTCATGTAATTACGTGGTAGCTGGTGTATCCTTACACACTCAAAAGCCACCATGTAGTTCTTCTGAGATAATTTGTGCCTTGTAAAATAATAAAATTATAGAGTGTTATGAGCAGGCCTGTGTGGCCAAGCCCATATGAACAGTCAGATGACTGTTTAGATGAAAGATCTTAAATGCCTAACATTTTGGAGAGGTGTTTATTTTGGTTTGATTTTAAGCTTCATAGAAAATAACCTTGGAATTCAGCATGCATGCCTGTCCTCATGTTTATTTTATTTCCCTGAGTTTGCATGAATGCCAGGGGATTAGGTGGCTGTTGATCTATTTAGGTCTTGGAAGCTTTTCTATCCTTAACCCATTCAGCAAGACTCGTGCCACACCACCAACAAAGGGGAATTTGTTCAAGAAGTACCTATGGAAAGAAATACTCTGGGGACAGAGAGAAAAGTTTTCTATTCTGTGATATATAAGCCTTCAAAGATTCCAGTACTTTGGCAGGGAAAAATGTTTTTACTTCTTTTTTTATTTTTTTAAGCATCAGTCTTTTGATTTCTGTTCAGGTTGGTTGTTTCAGGGATCACATTGCTGTTTTCTTGAACAGTCTCATTGCCAATGGAAGAGTGTGATTTGTACAGTTCTTTTATTTTTTGTAAATTACTTGTATCTTTAATATTGCATATTTTAAAACAGCACTAAAAGTATACAAAGATTTTGGGAGTTTCTAACAAGTTTTCACAAATCAGTGAATACCGCCAAGCTGAATGTCTGTGATGCCAGAGGATATAATAAAAATCTTCAGAAGCAGCAATATGATTATACAAGTAAGATCAGAGCAAATTCCAGTAAATTAACCTGCTTTGGTTATACCAAGCCCTTCCACATCTCAAATATGACACTTGATCAGAGTGTGGAAGTAGTTAAAATTTTGTATATTCGTGAAGTCATAAACTTGTAAGTTAGACAAAAGGTCAGGTCATCACCCTGTCTTGCCTTACGTTAAGAATATACTGAGAAAGAAATTGTCATTTGAAATACAAGATTGTTCTTTTTTTTCCCCCAAAGATGACCTGCTCTTAATGTTTGTGGGTAACAATCAGATGGAAAAATTATATGCATTTCAAATTACTGAAGAAAACTAATATGGGGTTAAGATTATGTATCTGAGACTGTTGTATTCTATTTTGCATCTGTAATTTTTGACTGTTGGAAGTCTCTTGCATGTCATGTCATTTGTATGTACTGCAGAAAAGCAGTATCACATTTTGACTGGGTATTCATTTAGTCGTGGAACTTTGTATCTTTACTCTGGAAGAACATCTAGCCCACTTTATTAAAGGAAGAATTAACAAATTTTCTGGGCTGTGCTTGTGCTGTTTTCTCAAAAAGAAGGGAAAGGGACTGTAATACTGGAAGTATGATTATGAGAACAAGAGTGCTTAAAAACTCTAAAACATTCTCAATATTTCTATAAGCACAAATGTAATTAATATTTTAATCAGATTTTATATGTATGATCCAGGGAATAAAACTACTTGTCATTTATCTCACCCAAACAATGCAGAACATTTCCTATTTTACCACATTTATTGTATCTGAAAATAGAAAACCAGAATTTAGCATAGTATAGGTTTTCTGCAATTTCATGAACCTTGGCATAGTTACCTCATTGGGTCTCAATCACAGTCCCAGTGTCTGTACAGACTTTTCTGAATCTCAGTGCTTTATTTCACATTCTTAAATGTTTCCTGTGATTCTCCAGTATGTTCTCCTCGTTAGATGGCACTGAGGCAGCTATTTAAGCTAAAGATTAAATTTCAGATTTGAGGTGTATTTTGTGTGTGGCAGTTACAGTGTTATCTGTTCAAACACCGCAGTCCTAAGGTGGGTGGATTTCTGTTCTGAGTGTCAGCCCTTAAATAATACTTTTGATTTTGTGCTGCATGTGTTGGCCTTGAGTGAATGTCTGTAATGGTTGACTAGACTTGAAAAGGTGCAATTTTGTAAAATAAACTTAATTTGGCTACAGAATAGTAATTACACTGCTTCATAATCTGTGCTGTTCTTTTAAGAGTCATTATATACCTTCCCTGCATTAGTGTTTCCCGTGTCACCAAGTCTGCTAGACTCCCAGTTTAGTAGCTAGCTAAATTTAGAGATGAAAGAGCATGAAAGAAGGTCACCAGAGAAACAACAACTTGAAACATGCACATGGGCAGCTTTTTTGCCTTCTGCTTGCAATATATTTAACCACTAAAGTGATGAGGGAGGAAGCAAAGTACATAACCCAAGAAACAGAGGAAGTGATGCAGCATGAGACTTAAACTACAGGTTCTTTAGGGCAGGAACCATCTTTTCCTCTGAGTTTGTACAGAACTTCTAGCATAGTTTGCCCACGATCACAGATGCTTTAAAAATTAGGATAATCATAATCATCATCAACATGTACTCATCATTTCATGAGGTCTTGCTCATTCAGACAGAGAGCTAGATGTAATCCAATAATAATAGCTCAGCTGATAGCAGTGGTATTGTATCAGGGAGATTTGGTCCCATACTGCTCAAATAAGTGCAATTGAAGAGCAGTAGCTTAAAAATAATAATAATAATAATAATTTAAAAATGCACACCAGAAACAGAACAACAATGTTGCCAACTACAAAAAGCTGTATTTCTCTCCAGACATATATGAAGTATAAGAAGTATTTTCTAAAATGGGCTTCAAGTAGCACTTGCATGCTTGTTTGACTACGCCAGGTAAGTTTGTGCAAACCTCTCTTTGCTTTAACTTGTAAAAGCCTTGCTGATGCTGAGGTGTGGGAAGCATTAAAATACATCTGCAGCAGAGGGAAGACACCATGGTTGTACTTTCTGTGAATTGTAAGAATTTGATCCTTCAAATCCCACTAAGTCAACACTTTCACTGTCTTCCATGGTGACAACATGAAAAAACCCTATAATCTTTTCCAGAGACCTGATGGGAACTTTGCTGCTTAAGTTCTCATCTGCAGTCACAGAGGACTGAGTTGAGAAACTTTTCACAGCTTTGCCTTTCACTGAGCTTCAGGGGCTGTGGCAAGATTAGGTTTGTCTGAAATTTTAACTAGCACAAAAAAGCACTCAAAGATGCTATAAATTATCATGTCAGTATTTTGAGACCTTTTGGAATATTAATTGCTACATAGCTTTGAGATAGAAGAATAGTTGTCACAATAGCTTGATTTCCCACCTGCTGTGTTAACTGAATCCAGGGGATGTGGAATATAGTAGCATTTTCAGATCAGCATTAAATTCCTCTTTAAATGAGAGAAAATACCAGTCAGACAGATATTGAAAGGCAGATTGTCAGAAGTGTCATCGAGCTTTCTGGGTAATACATACCTCTGTGCAGTACTTGGCAAGGTGCATCATTTTTAATCCATAAATAAGGTG